ACCCTGTGGAGTTTCGGGCTCTGTGGTAGCCATCCTGAAACTCTTAGTAATTTTATCTTTGAATTTGTATTTTATAAGTGAAGTCTGATTGGACAATGGAGTGTGCATCAGGGACTTGGTGCCTCAGTTAAAACACAGTCTCACCTATTGCCACCTCCCCAGGATGAGTTCTTAGCCCCTTGACATACCTGGCCCTGCCAGGTTTTTCTCTCCCTGATTCTACCCTGTGACCACTGCTGCCTGTTGCCCTCAGCACAAGCCTGAGTATGTGAGTGTTGAGGTTGGGTGTGCATGCCCTATGGTGTCTCGGGGCAGAGCATGACAATGGCTGTCTGGCCCCAAGCTGGCAGCACCATGGTATATCTGGTAGGCAAGCCTCTCACCCACCCTTGATCCAGTTACAAAAGTGTGTACTGGGCAGAGGTTTAGAGATCCTTGGGGGTCATCTGTCTGTCATGGGTTGGAGTAATAGACCTGTGGGATGGGTAGATACCTGACTGGACTCGCCTGGACCCAGCCCAAGCCAGAGCTTGGCATGTTGGTTTGGAAGCTGGCAGGAGAGAGATTTGGTAGCCATTAGGCTTAAGTGAGCATGTGCATGCGCCACATCAGAGTTGGGCTCCCAGGTTCCTACGAGGACCTGTACTTACCCCATAATTATCCCTAGGCCTGGGAACATTCTCTTGGCTGGCTCCATGCCTGGGGAAATCCTCTCAGTCTCCTTCCTGCCATCCTGAATCTGGCTTGTGTTTGTCTCTTCTGTCCAGCTTGAGGCACCCTTCAGGACAAGCCAAATGTGAACTGTTTACTTGCAGTGATTCTACATACAAGTTAAACGCTCTAATATTTGCATTTAAAATGGGCATTTTACAATATATAGATGAATGGTATAATTCATGCTAATAATGTAAATTTCTTTTCTTTTTTAACTTAAAATGACATTTAATATCAAATAAAAAACACGATAAGTTGAAAGAGGCTGCAAAAGAAAGAAAAAAGCTTTATGTGCACCTTTAAAGGCACTTTTCCTACCTCTTGAACAAGGGGCCTCACAATTTGTAATTGGACCCACAAATTATGTCACTGGCCCTGAATGCAGGTCTGCTATTGACAAATTCACAGCTTTTCATGAACTGAAAGTGTCTTTATTTCACCTTTATTTTGAAAGATATGTCTAGAATTCTAGATTCACAGTTTTTTTCCCCATAAAACTTTAAAAATTTTCTGTTGCTTTGTGCCTTATCTTGTTTCCTCTATATGTAATATGTGTTTTTCCTCTGGCTACTTCTTAAGCTTCCCATAGTTGTTCTTTCCCCATTAGTTGTTTGTTGTCCATCATTGTGTAGTATTACCCTGTGCATTGGCAGCTCAGTATTCAGCCGAAGATTCAAGGGACCCCATGTAGATTTCTGAAGCTTTTTCTCTGTGTTGCTTCCTCATTTCTGATACACTACCTGAAATTTCCATTTGCCTTAGGCTCTTCAAGTTCTAATTTCTTTATCCTCACCTCAGCAAGGTTGCTATGTTGTTTGGGTTCTCCTCCAATGCTGCTTTCTGCAAAGAGTCTCTAGGGAGAAAGCTGGGCCATCCTACGGCCTGCCTTATTTGTCTCCCTTCTTTTAGGGATCACAGTCCTGTGCTGTTATCAAATATCTGAAAACATTTATTTTATATATTTGTCCAGTTTTATAGTTACTTATCAGGTGAAGGCAAGTCTAGTCCAATTACTCCATCATGGCCAGAAATGAGATTCTTCCTGGTCCCCTTCATCAGATTTCTTTTTAATTGAGGTAAAATTCACATAACATAAAAGTAACCATTTTAAAGTGACCCCTATAGAAATTTGTAAATCAGCTTTTAGAATGTTCCAAATTCTTTCAAATTATTTTGCCAGACACATATCTAATCAAGGAAAATATTTTAAAGGATATGGAGTGAGAAACTTGCCCTATATACGACTTGAATTTGCAAAATAGAATATCAATATTCTCTTTCCCAAAGAGAATTTAATTTACCTGAATGAATTTAGATTGGTTTCTTTTAATATATTAAAAACACAGAATCGTGTATATGATAGATTATGTTATAAATTATATTTTGTGCTGATAAACTACATTTGATGTATTTCTTGGATGAAAGTAAATACACAGAAGAGCAATAGAAAATAAAAACAAAGAGATATGACTAAGAATCACCTCCAAGCATTCTGTTTTATTATACTTTTAAAAATCATGCTTGATTTTTCATATTAAACTTCTTTTGTTCACGTGGGGAACTGAATGACTGCTTTGTGATTGTGTGTGCTCTAACTTCTCTTCCTGTGAGTCCTGTCTAACTTCAGTAGTCTTTAATAGTTGAAGAAGTATTAAGAGAAGAAATGAAACAACTTTTTAAATTGTTGAAGGTATTTGATTTTCTAACCTCTGTTTCAATTACAACTGTTGAAGTAAGCTTGAGAAAGCAACCATTAGGGACAAGTATGTGAGTAAGTTTGCTTTAGGGAGTTATCAAAGGACAAAGCTAATGAGAGCTGTAGGACTTAAAAGCTGGGCCAGCATTGATGGGTTAGAATGTCCAGTGATAGTAGAGGTCAAGGCAAGAAACTGAGGGATCAGGGATGGAATATAAAGGATCTTGGAGGCTAGGAGAGCTGTGGGAAAAGAGGTGTTGAGGAGCAAAGTGGCTCAGAATATAATTAGGTTAAAGGGACTAACCTGAGATGTCTGTAAGAAAATAACTGAAGCAGCTCTCCTTTGGTGAAAAATTCTTATTTTTTTGTTTTTTGGGTTTTTTTTTACAGCTGGCCAGTATGGGTATCCAAACCTGTGACCTTAGTGTTATAAGGCTGCACTCTAAGAAAATTCTTATTTTGGGGGATGGGACATAATCACAACCTGTATGTGAGAAGAGGCAAGCAACATTAAGAAGGTATAAGTTAATTTGGCAAAAATTGGAACTGTGAAGTCAGCTATAAAGACAAATTTTCTGTATTATCAATACAATCATAGATCTAGTTAAAGTGAATTAAAGATTTTTTATTTTTGCAATAGCTTATTCATTTTTTGGAAGCCATGACGTATACATTTAGAAGCAAGTAGGATTTCTCTATACAATATCTGGCTATGTTAGGAGTGTCTTATGCTGCTTTGCTACTCTATTGCCACTGAAACACCATCAATACACATCATTTATATTTGTGTATGAATTCCATAGATTTAGCCATTTATGGCCGGTAATTTTCAAGTTAAATTTTTTTCTAAGCTCTGGCAATTTTCATCTTTTTATTTCTCAAATTGATCCATTCACACTTAAAACATGTTAATCAGGAAAGAGTGAAGAAAGGGTTATCAAGGCTCTCCAGAAACCTTTAGGAGCCTCTCAGAAGCCAGAGAAAAAAACTCCTATCTTGCCTATAGGGAAGAAAACCTGAATCTCAAGGACACCCTAAAATCCTGAGGAATCCCCTGCAAACATCAGAAGCAAGAAAAGGATTTTCAGAGTTTTAGTAATCAACAATAGCTGATTGGATTTTCAAATTCTACACATTAGTCTTTTATCAAGAATTCTGTGCAGCAACTTTGATATTTGGGAGTTTTGGTACTGTTTGTTATGTTTTTTATCCACCCACATGAGTTAAATTTCTTAACATTTTTTAGAATGAATTTCTTTGCATCAGAATCACCAAAGTTTATTTACTGGCAAAGCTGCTTTTCCTACAGACTTGTAGGAATGGTTTAAGTGAAAGTTGATGGAAGTTCTGATTAGCAGTTGCTCTGCCAAGAATAAATTTGTGTGTGTGTGCTGTGTATATGTCAGGTTTGGTCAGCTGTACTGACAGAGCTGGGCTAAGATATTTTCCTGCCTGTTAATCAAGGCCACACAGACAAAGCTTAAGGAAGGATGACCACTGCCTCAGGAAGTGTCGAATCAATTGCTATTTATAACCACAGTAACAGTAGAACTTGAAATTAGGTCTCTCTTTACTCAGTTGGTAGGAAAAGTTTTCTGCCAAATTTTGCATTTGAGGAAATAGTTTATGGGCCTGAGTGAAGCCTCTCGTGTGAAAGGAAAGAATATTACAGTGACTGTAAGTATTTTTGCTGATTTGGGTCAAGGGTGTGGTGGCAGAGATGTGGGAAGTTCAGTCAGTGACACAATAGGTTATTACATTTTAAAGCAAGTGATAGTTAATGGGCACCTTGGATTGTCTTAGGATGGTGTGTATGGAATCTTGTGCTGCTAATAGTAAAGTTGAAATTAAAGGTATGTGATGGGCTAATATTATCTATCAATATAGGACAGGAGGAGGAAATTAGCTATTTGTGTTTTTCCACACTTCACTGGCTCTTGCTCTGGATGTATACATAAGCTTTTTATTTGATATGTATTTCTGTATATGTATGCTTTTTCTTTTTTTTTTTTTTGTGGCTGGCCGTGTATATGCATTATGCTTTTATAATATTCCATTTGTCCTTGGTTCATTAAGGAAGGTTTTGTAAAGAATTGTTTCATTAGAAAATAATATTGTATACCACTATCTGAAATATTTTATAAAACTTCATTCTACCTAACTTTAAGACATTAAATATGGCAGAACATTAAAGCTGACAATTTGAGAAATGCCACAAGTAAAGTTTTCTGTATTATTATATCAACATCTTAGGAGTGCCTTTATACAGTTGAATTACCTAATAAGTGACAGGTACATTTTTACATAAACAATGTAAATAAATTATTTAGGTCAATGTTTTAGTGGAGTTTAAATTAGGAAATTATAAAACTGTGTTAACTTATTCTTGTCTCATTTTAATAGGATTTTTCAAGATAGAGTTGTAGCCATTTTCAACAAGGATCAGTGATCAACATTGTTCTTTTTAAAAAAAGCCCTCCAAGTTAAATATGAAAGGAAAATACTGGAATTATTTGGGTTCTGAGAGAATAAAGAATACAGTATTTCATAGTTATTAGTAATGGAAGCTTTGTAATATTTGTCACTTGTCATGCACCCAACTGGGAACATGGATGCTGGTTTTTCTCGTTCTGCTGTTCAGACACTGTCAAGAAGCCACTGCAAAAACATCAAACAAAAAATTTCTCAGTGGGAAGGAAGAACTTATGGTACACCTAATGCAGATAAGTGGCATCCAAAGGACTTTGGAATGAGATATAATGATCGCCACCAAAAGATTCTTCCTAAGAAAAATCCTGTTGCTGAGAGAGAGAGCAAAAAGGTGGATGTAACCAGCTCTCAAAATGTGGGTCTAAATATGAATGAAGATGCCAAAAGCCATGATCAAAGTGAGGGTGAAGGTGAGAAACATGAAGATGATGATACGCACTTCTTTAAAAATGAATCTGAATCTAATTGGGTATGTTCTCGGGTCAAACAAATTGAAAACTGGAAAGAAGCTGTTTTAGATCCAGAGACTTCATTACCTCCAGGAAATTTCTATACCTCACAATTATTGTGGAAGAAAATAGAAGCACTTCCACCAGATAAAGTCTTAAATTTGGCTTTAGAACATTGTGAATCTTCAGAAAAAGAACTTAATTTCAGAATTCTGGATAGTTCATATGGGATAACCAAGAGCTTAGAAAATATTTACTCTGAACCTGAGGGGCAAGAATGTGGACCTTCTGTAAATCCTTTGCCAAAACCTCGTAGGACATTCAGATATTTATCTGAATCTGGAGTTATGCCATATAAAGAAAGAAACTGTGACAAAAAATACTGTGAAAATAATTCTTGTGCAGAATCTTCTTTGGCCTCTTCTCAGGAACCTGAACCAAAGAAATATGGTAGAAAAATCAGAGGGAGATCTAAAAGGTATGTTTTTATCCTATAGGTAATGACTTGTTAAGTGTTTTCCTTACAGGATTATTGAGCTTCTTTTTCCTTTTCAAACTAGTTTCCATTTCCCAGCTTCAGTTAGAGCTCTATTCTGAACATATAGATGTTGATTAACGTGGAGGGAAAATAAGAGGAAAAAGTAGAAGTGTAGGTAATATCTAAGACAGTCTGCTGACACAACAGCATAAGAAGGACCTTCATTTTATATCTTTAAGAATCTGTAGGGAAGCAAGTACATTCTTCCACTTCACTTTAGGACATACTAGTCTTAACCCCACTTTTTATTAGTGAATGAACTTAATAAAGAAACCCAGTGAAGAATATGGAATGTGATTGGCTAGAAGCCTCCACTTTTTCATGGTGCATATAGGGCACCAGTCTAATTCATTGTTCTTAGAGCTCTGATAAAACACCTTTCTAATTTTACACACAAGCCTTTTATTTATCAATTTCTGTCTACCGTATCTTTATTATATTTTATTTTATTTTTTTGGTGGCTGGCTATTAAGGAGATCTGGACTCTTGACCTTTATATTATCATCACTACACTCTAACCAAGTGAGCTAACCAGCCAGCCCTTACCATATCAAGTTAAAGAAGATTAGAGTAGGGCCAGCCCATGGCTCACTTGGGAGAGTGTGGTGCTGATAACACCAAGGCCATGGGTTTGGATCCCTATATAGGGATGGCTGATTAGGTCACTTGGGAGAGTGTGGTGCTAACATCAAGGATTAAGATCCCCTTACCGGTCATCTTTAAAAAATAATAATAATAAAAAAATAAAGAAGATTAGAGTTTTCAAAGATAGAACTTTAAAATATATCTCCTTTCTTAAGGAAATCCTTTGAATTTGAGGATATTCAGCACTTTCGAAATCGGAACTCACAGAAGATTCATGAAGAACTTGGAAGAAATTCTGGTTCAACGCTTTATTACACACAGTCTGAGGACAATATCTATGAGGATATCATATGTAGGTGTCTACAGCTTTGCAATTAAATTTAATGAGTATGTATTTGGCGAAGTCTTTATTTGTAGGATGTTATTTTCTTTTACAGTCAAGCATATCTTGCTCTAGGTTTTTATTTTTAATATGGAAACCTTTGGTGTATGAATTTTTTTATTCTTTAATGAATTTTACAACTAGTGTAATGAACTGCTCAGTTCAAAAGTAGATGTTTATAGTATAGTATTTTGAGAATTCTTTTAGCTCAGTTGGACACCTAAGTGGTTTGTAAGCTTACAGTGCCATTGATCTTGAGACCCACATCCCTACAGCAACGTAGAATAAGCTGAATGTAGTTAGTTTTTTATTTCTTTTGCTATCTTTAGTCACTTTGTTTCCTTTTAATTACCTTCCTCTAAACATTTTTTTTGTCATTATTTTTCAAGATCCCACCAAAGAAAATCCTTACGAAGATATTCCAGTGCAGCCTTTACCCATGTGGAGATCCCCTTCAGCATGGAAGCTACCACCTCCTAAAAGTGCTTTCAAAGTGCCCAAGGTATAACCAGAGAATTAATTGAAGAAAACATTAGAATCTTCTTTATGATCTCTGCAAAGATTAAGAGGTTTAACTGGGGCCAAAACTAAGAGGTACTGAAATGTAGGTTTTACTGATGTTGGTGGTGGTGGTTTTTTGTTTTGTTTTTTGGGAAGTACAAAGCTTTTTGTTTGTTTTGTTATTGTTTTTGCTGTTGTTATTTTAGCACTTCAGAAAAAATTGAATATGAGTGCCTTTAGACAAGCCATGAACTTTTCAGTTCACTATATTTCCCACCACTCTCTATTAGTTGCACATCAACCTGTGTTCTAAATTCCTGCCTGGTCCCTGAAAACATTTGAGATCCCTGTAAGCAAAGCCCCCTTGAGTTAGTGAAGACTAAGAGCCATTGTTTTCTGGGAATTTGATTACATTGTAGTAGAACTTCAGATTAGAAACCAGAGAAACTTGTTTACAAATGGTGAGAAAGAAATTATAGTATCCTCATTTGAGATGATTTTAAGGGAAAGATAAGATAAATATCTTTCTGGGATAGCTTTGACTTTGTATGAGAACAAAGATATTTAGTAGATGATCTTATCATTACTAGTACATCTTCTCCTGTTTTAGCTTCCTCCCAAACCTCAATTCCTTCACCGGAAGACTATGGAACTGAAGAACTCACAAGTTTATTTACGGTCAAAGCTCCCGAAGGATACCACTTTACCTGTCACTTTAACTGAATGGAAGCTTTTCCGAGCTGGAGAAGTTGCAAACAGGAAAAGGAAAAATCTTCCGAGGGTAAGGACTACAGTACTTTTTGGTTTTTGACTCTTACTTCAGCATTTCCATAAATGAGAATAAATAAACTAAGATGAATAAATAAGACTAAGATGAATAATAGGTTAAGATCTACTGGAATTAGAAGATTTGGAAAGCAGCCTTAAGTTTTAAATTTTTGCTCTTGCAAGAAAAGTGCATGAGTGGCTTTGCCAGGGTTTCTTTATGGATTTGGAAAACTTATATTATTATATTATCTTATTTATAAAATGGAGGGTTTCACTTTAGTTATCCTAGTTCTCATTAAAATCAGTTGGTTATTTCAAGGAAGCACCAGAATCTCATATAAAAGGACATTCTACCAAGCTGGCTTCATTGTTCTTGCTCATTTTTATAATTGCCAAAGTGAGTTCCGTTTTGTGCGTGAGTTTACAGATTTTCAGTAATGACAAAAGATATGCTATTAATTTGGGCAAAAATTTCCATTCAGAAGAAGGAAAAAAGAATGTATTACTTGGGAATAGAAATTATCAGCAATCATACTACATAAATGACTTCTCCCTCAATGGAAAAAAGACAGTAGGTCTGTAAATCATCTCAACTAGAACCATTGCAACCAAAATGAAGAAACTAAGATTACTGGTAGACATATATATTTTCTTTTAAGAAACACATAAGAAATTACATGAAAATACTTTAAAACTCTGTGTGTTACTTTGTTTTCATGTAATTCAGCGTGTTTTTAGGATTGACAAAATACTATGCAGATGCTAGGCACTAATGAAGAAATCGGATCATTTAAATATTATTCCATTTCTTTTTTTTAAATGTATTTATTAGTATTTTTTTTTACATTCTGAGTTGTTATTATTCCTTTTCTTAATCGCATCTGAATTAGCTTTATGTATTCATGTAGCACACAATTTTTGTACCTGATTTTAACATTAAACAAAAGTCCCAGCTGTTTCTTGGTTTAGTATCTGCTGCTTGTTTCCTTGGGAAGTATTCTGTTCCACAATTACTTTCATTCTTCTGATCTGTTTCCAGCCCCTCCCACTTTAATATTGAAAAGTTAAAGACACATTTTTTTAAAAGCACTAAGTTGATCGTTCAGCTTTTATTTCACTTTCTAAGTGAAAAAAAAAATCTTTAGCTCTTTATTCTCCTGTGTATCATGAAGAACATTTAAAAATCAGAGATTTAAAGAACTTCCAGGCATCCTGCAGTAGCTCTAGGCTTGGATAGATCATGCTGGCACAACAAAGGAGCTTCCCACATTGGCCCAGAAAGAACAGATCATGTATTCATAGGGAGAAGAATACAAACACCTAAGGGATTGCATTAAAGATGTGGTTCTTGGAATGGCATTAGCAAATATTTAAGAATTATGGATTGTAGAGTTTAATGAGACCTGAGGAGATTTTTTTTTTCCTTTTTGTCTTTTTTACTGACCAGTAACGGGATCGCAACCCTCGGTGTCGCGCCCGTACCAGGGACCGGCAACGGGATCGCAACCCTCGGTGTTGCGCCCGCACCGCGCTCAGCCAGTGAGCGGGAACCGGTCTCCATATGGGATCCGAACCCTCAGCAGGAGCGCCACCGTGCTCCCAAGCGGCGCACTCTCCAGTGCGCCACCGGGCCGGCCCAAGACCTGAGGAGATTTTGCACTGCTTTTTATTTTATGCCTCAGTATTTTATGTGCTGTGAATCTCAAGTTACTTGAAGCTTGTTCTCTTTCTGATTATAGGTGATATGATTCAGCTTTTCCTTTTCTAATATTTTCCCAGAGGCTTTTGGAGAACTGGGGAGAAAGAAAATGGTGATGAACTCTTGATTAGTCAGGCAGGAACAGGCAGGCTATTAGCATTTCTACCTATGACCCTCCTTTGACTAAACACTTTTAGGATGTCCCATATGCTTTACAAATTTTGGCTTTGGAGTATCTTCAGGAACAACATTCCATAAGACAAGCAGTGTTCATAACTCTAGCTATCTCTGGAAGGGAAGCTGCTTTCATAGTGTGAAAATCACTGATCTAGTCCTCATGCCTCTTCCCCACCCTTTTTTCTTTCCCTGTTCTAGAAGCCTGTATGAGTTTGTTTGCTAGAGTACATTTCCTAATGTTTTATATTGTTGGTGTCAAATGTGTACGGGACAGTGTGATTTCTATCATTTGTTAGGAAGAATATTCTACAGTATTTCCTGTAACTAGAAGGTAAATGTAGGCTCCTTTTCCTAGCTCTTCACTGAAATTTAAATTTATCACTTTATCTCACATTTCTAGAACAGATAGCTCTCTTTCCTTTATAATATTTGAGTATACTTTTTTTTTTGTCTTTTTCCGTGTCCGGCAACGGATCGCAACCCTCAGTGTCGCCCCCGTACCGGACCGGGACCGGCAACGGGATCGCAACCCTCGGTGTTGCTCCCGTGCCTCGCTCAGCCAGTGAGCGGGAACCGGTCTGCATGTGGGATCCGAACCCTCGGAGGGAGCGCCGCCGCGCTTCCCAAGCGGCGCACTACAGCAGTGTGCCACCGGGCCGGCCCAGAGTATACTTTTGATTATACTTTTCAAATGCATATTAATAATTATGCTATTTTTGGTCATTATTTACCTAAAATATATGTTTATTCCCAGACATCTTTCTTATTGCCCCTAACAATACCTTTTTATTTTGCATCCTCTTGTTTTTTGTAGTGGTAATATTTAAGAACATTGGCAATTTTTCACTTGAATGGAAGCTACAAAATTCTTTAAGAGAACAAACATCCAAAATTGTGGGAATAATCTACATATTGGAAGCACATGTTTCTCACATGTTTTTTTCTTGCACTGGACTGATTCACTGTCTATCGATTGCCAGAATTGCTAGAGAAACAAGTACAAAAGAGAAAATGAGAGCATTTTCCTCAAGCAACTTTGTTGGTTGTCATCTCATGTAATTGTTTTTTTTTTTTTTTTTCGTCTTTTTGTCTTTTTTCGTGACCGGCAACGGATCGCAACCCTCAGTGTCGCGCCCGTACCAGACCGGGACCGGCAACCGGATCGTAACCCTCGGTGTTGCCCCCGCTCCTCGCTCAGCCAGTGAGCGGCCGGTCTGTATGTGGGATCCGAACCCTCAGCGGGAGTGCCGCCGCGCTTCCCAAGCGGCACACTGTAGCAGTGCGCCACCGGGCCGGCCCATCATGTAATTGTAATTCTAGGCATTAAGTATGTTAAACCAGGATTAATACTTAGGAAAATTTTGGAATTTTAAGAAAAAAGAAAAATATACATGGAAAAACTAATCAATTCCTTCTTTTTTGAGTCTGTTGATCAGTTCTTTCTTCTTTTTTACCCCAATCTGTGTCTCTGTTTCTGTTTCTGTATCTCTCTCTCTCGCTCTCTCTCTCTCTCTCTCTCTCTCTCTCTCTCTCACTCTCACTCACACACACACACACATACACACGCACCCACACCCCTCCCAGCAGGAGAGAAAGATTTCTAATTAGTCATGCTTATTAAATGGAGAGAAACAGTTATATAACAATTTAAAAATAAATGGTCTGGGTTTTACTTGCTTGAGATATATGTACTATAGACTGATGAGTGGAAGGGGAAAAAAGCATAGTTTTTGTACTTGAGCATATTTGAGAATCTTGTATTTTTATGACATATTTCTAAAATAAATTGTGATGTTTGTACTCCCAGTAGCAGAGACAGGGTATTCCTTTTGACAAAACCTTTTCTAAGTGTGATTATCCTTTCTTTGGGAAGAATTCCTGGGGGCAGAAATAACTGAGCCTCACCCTGCCTTCCACATGAATGAGTGTTCCACTTCCTATTCAGGGCAAGCAAAAGCCGGGATTTAATAGTAGAGGCTTGATCACTACATGGAGTAAGGTAGCCACATTTCCCTGCATGTTGTGACATGGAGTGACAAGAAATCTAAGAGCCTGTGCTGAGTTCATCTGGAAAGGAGATATCCTTTTCACTTCCCTTACCCATGTTATATGGACTTGGTATTAGAACAACATATATTTAACTAAAGATCATCAAAATTTAAAAATGTGAAGGTTTTTGTTATAAAATCGAGTTTTTTCTTTGAGTGAGAATCACTAATAAATTAATGTCATCAATCTGCGAAACTAGTGGGTGTTGGTTTTAACTTGTATTTTTCTGGTCTTTTTTCAGCTTGTATTGAAAATAGGTGACATATTTGAATCTAAGAGAGGAAAGAAGAGGGTAAAGTTACACCCTTACACTGGAAAAGAAGTACCTTCCTCAAAAGGTAGGTAAGAATTGTACTCTGTTCCACCTATCTGTAGCTATCAGCATATGAGGGGAGAATCATTATACAGTTTAATATTTGATGTGTATTATAATTTTTGGTTTACTTTCCTGTCTGTCACACTTAAGTATAAACTTCTGTAAGATAGGGGATCATTTCTAAAATCCCTTTAATTTTGTGCCAGTTGATAACTATTGGATGAATAAATAAATAAACAAACAAACAAATAAATAAATGGAAACATAATTATAAACCAATGACTGATTTTCATAGTCAGACTGAATCATTACTTTGTATTCCTATTTTTTGGAGGGTGAGGGGGGACAGCTGGCCAGTACTGTAGTCGTACATTGATTTATAGTCATTTATCAGTATAGACTCTTTCAGTGGAGAAATGAAAACTTTAGGTATAGACTGAAGGTATGAGTACTCAACTTGTAGTCCTCTAATAAGTTCAGTAGTTTTATCCTTCAAATTCTTAGCTAAAACTTATATTGTCTTTGTCTTAAGAAACTTTCAACATTCATAATGAATTATTAGAATTTTCTTAAAAACTCATGTGAGATTCTTAATGTGGTTGGCAAAGAATATGTAGAATTTAGCAAATTTTGTTTATAAGATTCATAAGTGAGAAACAACAGCCAAGTCATACCAGAGGAGAATGTTTGTTATTTTTGCAGACTTCTAAAGACAGAAATTTTCTTGATTTCCCTTAAAAATCTATTTGACATTCTAACAACTTAGTATCTGAAAATAAGATCTTCTGTTTTATAACCTAAAACTCTTTCTTCTAACTCTGTGATGATTAAAATCAACTGATCACCATATTTAATGTGAATGTTTATATTTTCAAAGGCAATTATTAAAACATGTTTTAATCTTCTCTCCTGGGGAAGAAATACTTTTGGTTATTGTTATTAATAATAGCTACCATTTACTGAATGCAGTAATAGTTTCTTTACATAATTTATCTCAAGTATAACAAATGGCAACACTGGGAGGTAGGGACTATCCTAGTTTATAGATGAAGAAGCAGAACCAGAGAAGAAAGCATAGATTTGACTCAAGGAGCATGGCTCTACAAAGTCTTTTTCTGTTCTGTCATCAACAGTTACTCTCGGCCGGCCCGGTGGCTCACTGGATAAGTGCGCCACTTGGGAAGCGCGGCGGCGCTCCCGCCCGAGGGTTCAGATCCCACATACAGACCGGTTCCCGCTCACTGGCTGAGCAAGGCGCGGGAGCAACCCCGAGGGTTGCGATCCCATTGCCGGTCCCCGGTCCGGTACGGGGGCGACACTGAGGGTTGCGATCCGTTGCCGGACACGGAAAAAGACAAAAGACAAAAAAAAAAAACAGTTACTCTCAATTTTTCTCATAAGCCTTGATTTTTATCGGTTTAACTATTTCTTCTCTGTGTGTTTCTGTATTCTCAGCAAGGGTATTGTCAAAGCCTTTTTATTTGTTTAATTCAGAAATAGATACAGAAAATGAAAACTGATGCCAGATACTGTGCTGGATCCTTTCCAATGTATTATTATTAATTTGCTAAGTAACCCTATTTGGCAGATATTTTTGTTGCTGTTTTATAGATAAGGAAATAAATCATAAATTGTAAATTGTATAAAATATTAAGACACTGGAGCGAGGACACATGCTTGTAAAACATCATTTTCACAGATTAACAGCAGTCTATTGATGACTATTTTCCAGTATTCCATTCTAAGTAGATTGTTACCGATTCCATATTTTATTTGTATGCTTTATGCCTCATGGATTAGGAATATTTAGTAAATTTGGCTCTAAAACAAGTTTTTGAAGAGCAAAACCTTGTTGTTGTTGTTTTTGTTTTTTTGTTTTTACTGTATCATTGTTGAAAAGAAAAAAAATTCTTTAGCTGCCAACTTCTAGCACCTAAGTAAGTAAATAAATACAAATAGAGCAGTCTCTACATTGTAACCCTCCCCTAAAAGTTTATTTTTCTTTTGCTTGGCTCAAAGACAATAAGCATTTACCCAGCCTCTGTGACCCACTCCTCCAGAGGATCAGAGGAATTTCTCTTATGCCTGCAGCTTTATTGTCACAGTTCTCAGATTTTTGTTTTCCTCCTTAAGCTTTTGGCTATATATCACACAATACCTAATAGAACTAGATAATTATATTTACCTACTCTGTCAGTACATGCTAAGGTTTACCAAATGTATTTTAATCTAAGCATTTCTTAACTTTCAGTTTTCAGGTGTTATAAAATGCCTTATTGTCCCTGCTCAATTCTGTCATAATTTTGTTTGTTGAAGCCACATATAAAAAAGAGATAACCTAATATTTTTTTGATCCCTACAATTCTCAGTAGATTTCCCTGTTGACTCATAATGTCCTTAGCTTTTCTTCAGTGTCTTGGAATGCAGGTCATTAAAACCCATAGAAGTGAATATATTAGAGCCACTCAAATGATCTTTTCCAGTTATATTGCCTTTCCTCCTTTTCCCCTTTTCTTATCTTTCTTTCCAGACACTTCATAAACTCCTAAGAGGTGCCTGGTGCTAAGGATACAAACAGGACTCAGGAGTTCACAGTGTTCGTTTCTTCCTTCTAAACAATATTTTATAGCCCCACTATACTTTTTTGTCTTGCTGGTTAATTTGAAGTTATAAAATCTATATAGTGCACAGTAACATTTAAATAGGTACTTTTCTGTACCATCTCTTATAACATCTTTGCCACCTATTTTATTTTTTTATTTTTTATTTTTTTATTTTTTTGTCTTTTGTCTTTTTTCCGTGTCCGGCAACGGATTGCAACCCTCAGTGTTGCCCCCGTACCGGACCGGGGACCGGCAACGGGATCGCAAGCCTCGGCGTTGCTCCCGCGCCTCGCTCAGCCAGTGAGGGGGAGCCGGTCTCCATGTGGGATCCGAACCCTCGGACGGGAGCGCCGCCGCACTTCCCAAGCGGCGCACTATCCAGTGCGCCACTGGGCCGGCCCTTTGCCACCTATTTTATAATGAGGCAGCATTTCTTTTAATATTCTCTTATTCCTTATTATAAAATGAAAAGCCAAAGTTTCCCAAATCTCCTTCTGCCACTCCCAGAAAATTTTATGCACATGCAAATACTTTTTCTACTCAGTCTTATACTATTTAGACTTTGTATGCCTTCTTTTTAGAAAAAACTTACTTTAAAATGTATTTCAGAGCTCTGTCAGTATCAACACAGAGAGCCCCACTGCTGTACTATATTTCATTGTATAGATGTGAAAGAATTTTATTTAGTTGGTAGATATTTTGGTTGTTTCTAGAATTTTGTTTAACCTATGGCTGTTAAGTCGTGTGTGTGTATACATATATATACAGGTATATATACATATACATATATATATGTGTGTATATGTATATATATGTATCTTCAAATAATGCTGCAATATGCATCCTTTTACTTATATTTTTGTATATTTGTAAGAATATATCTGTAGAATAAGTTCCTAGCAGTGGACTTACTTGATCAAAGAATATATGGATTTAAAATTTTTATAGCTACTGCCAAATTGTCCCACAAACAGATTATAACAGTTTATATTCCTACAAAAAGCATTTGAAAATGCCTCTTTCCCCGTAATCTTCACTAGCACTATATTTTATTAAAACTTTTTTTTTTTCCCAGCCAGTATCATGGTTGAAACTTGCATCTTATTTGTTGTTTTAATGTACATTTCTTTCATTGTGCGTTTGGGCAGTTTTCATGTTTGCCAGTAATTTATAAATTTTTTTTTTTTTTTTTTTTTTTTTTTAAAGATGACCGGTGAGGGGATCTCAACCCTTGGCCTGGTGTTGTCAGCACCACGCTCAGCCAGTGAGCAAACCGGCCATCCCTATATAGGATCCGAACCCGGGGCCTTGGTGTTATCAGCACCACACTCTACCGAGTGAGCCACGGGCTGGCCCTATAAATCTTTTTCTATGAATTGCCTATTCCTACCCTTTATTCCTTTTTCTGTTGTGCTGTCTTTTTCTTCTTGATTTGTTACCGTTATTTGGATATTGAGAAACTTAGCCTTGTATCTGCAATGTGTTCACAAATATTTTCCTAGTTTATTGTTTACCTTTTGAGTTTACTAATGTTTTTTTATTCAATAGAAATTTTACAATCTTACACAATCAACCTCACATATATCTTTATGACTCCTAGGCCTCGTTTTTTCCAAAACATTAAAGATTTTCCTTTTCTTTGCATTTTTCTTATTTTGCTTATTTAACTTTTCACACTTAACCTAGAAATTTTTCATTCATTCATTCAAAAAGGTTTTCATTTGTTTGGTAAATGGTCTTTGTGCCCAGAATTGTGGTATAAAACATTCCCTGTGAAAACAAAATAGCTTTTTATCCTCAAGAAACTTACAGTTTGATTGGGGAAAAAAAGTACAGTGAAGAGCAATATGAGTACTGTAAGAATCAGGAGTAAAGGGAAGGTCACTATGAGCTATAGGGAGCTCAGAGACATCATAGAAAAGGTACAGTGTTACTTCGTAAACTCACTTGGTAATCTTTCTCTGCTAGCTCACACATTTTCATTTATTCTAAATTCATAGTCTGGTTGGTGTCTGGTTCTTGTTTAGCCAGTTTGGTGTTGTTCTACCTTTGGTACTTTATTTGGGAATATACAGACAAGGATGTAAATGTAGAAATGAATCCATTTTGAACCAGACTTGTAAAACTAGACTGAAATGCTGTTAATTTCTAGAGTTAGGGGTGAGAGGGGAGCTGAGGAGTGAGAAAGGGTATGGGAAGAAGATGTAATAGAGTTGTGTCTTCTCTGAGCCATTTATTCTGTTTTATAACTGTCCTAACCTGATATAAGCAAGTGGTTTGGAAAAAGGCTCAGCATCCTTATTATTCCTTATTCCAACTTCCTAGATTTGTGGAGGTTTTATATTGTTATCCTCAGATACTTCCTACTGTTACACTCCACATACTTCCAATGCAAATGGAAACTTTCTCTCTTTTCAGGTGAAACCAGTGGGAACGAAAGTGATGCTGAGTATCTGCCAAAGAGTGAGTGAGTCAGTGGGGCTGCTCCCTTCCTGTGACGATCATGGCTGTAGGTGGAGTGGCACCTACCTTTGTGATTAAGCATGTTTTTCCCATATGAAGTTTCATTTTATAGGTGACTTCTTCATTTTCGGAACCTGTTGAGATTTGAGGAACTAAAAGTACACTTTTGTCAGATGTTTAACATCATTAAAAATCTCCCATAGTGCAGTGAGGCAAACCAGTGTGGTTCTTGGGATGAATGTTCTTAAGGGAGTGGCACAGAGTTGCATGTCCAGACACATGTGTAGTAGTTTCCCGGCAGCCAAAACAGAGTATGTGAATCATCCCGAGACAAATACTTAGGATTAAATCTCTCTCTCTCTCTGTCTCTCTCTCTCTCTGTCTCTCTCTCTCTCTTTTTTTTTTTTTTTTTTTTTTCGGTGGCTGGCGGGTACTGGGATCCGAATATCTGATTTTTCATAGTCACTCAGGTGACTATGAAATAATTATTTAAATAATATTGAGAAGGGAAACATTTATCTCATTCTTATTCATAGACATTTATATTCCAAATTATTGTGCTGTTTATTTTCTGTTAAAATATAGAAGGGGCCATACAATTCTGGGTATATTTGTTCAAGCACTTCATGGTGCTCTGTATCCTTCATCTAATGAATTGTCACAGCAAGTTATTTCGTTTCCATATTGAGGCGTGGAAAAAGTAGGAGACATGGAATATCAAAGCTGAGTACAGGGCAGTTCCAAGTCTAGTACTATAATCTTGTGATTAATAGTCTCATGCTCCCTCCACTGGCCCAAATTGCTTCAGCTGTTTGATTCTGTAGCGGAACTGAAGGTGAAACTTAAGTCATCACCAGGTTCAGTCTAGATGCGTAAAGATGACTAATTTAGTGCTGTTGCCACTGAGAAACAAGACCTAAAATTTTCTTGGCTTGCACTCAGCCCTTTGGTGTAAGTGAAGCTTTGTCTGGAGCACTAAATCTACTAGATAATTCTGGAGAGCCATTCTTAAGTATATATTTTAAATGTTCTTGATATTTTGATCTACAGTGTTACTTCTTTTGGGGCAGAATGCATCATATCTTAAAAGAAAAAAAAAGATTAGAGGATGAGTCTTTCGATCAGTGGCTCAGAATGACATAGAGGCAAATCTCTGGGACACTTAAACTATTTCTTCTGCAAGTATACCATTTCCTCTAGTGGAGGCTACCCCAAATTGTTCAGAATTTAGAGATAAATAAGAATAGAGGATAGAGGCTATCCTGTTTTGAGTGGTATTGCTATGTGCTGTTTAAATATGCTTCCATAATTTCATTTTTTTGAGGAATAGTTTGCTGGTAAATGTTTTCTTCCACTTCATTTTTCCTTCTGGCATTTAGCACCATTTAATGATATGAGCATATATCCATTATTGTAATATGTACTAAGGAGAGAAGAGAAAAGGACAGCTTCTTTAATGTGAGGATAATTTTTGTTTTAATTTTATCAAACTTATTCCTTTCTGTACTTTACCCCCTGTAGGACTCAGTTCTTTTATCAAATTCCCCCCCACTGCACCCCACGGTTTCATGGTATTCCCTGTTGTTAGTCCAGTGCTTTTTCCTGATGGTTTCCTTGTGTCCTGGTGTGATGTCATGAAAGATGGGATAGCATAGAGTATGTGTTGGGACATATATAGAGTATCTTGGGACATGGAATGTTAGTCCTATTGCTGGCCAGAGGTGGCCAGAGCTGGCCCAGAGGGGCACTTGTGAGGGGCTGCACTTGTCCCCCAAGTATGTCATAGCCCTAACAGGTATGTCTGTGTGGCAGATATTGATTAGTCAGCATTCATTCAGCAATGACGGTGTGAAGATCAGTTTTGTATGGGTCATGACCTCCGTGTGCTAGAGGCAATGTGGGGCTACAGAGGGAAAACATTGCTCCATGATTTCATTACAGATCGTCACAAGCGCTTAACACAACTGCAGCAGTCTTCAAAGAGGAATCCTCACTACCAGACCTTGGAGCGGGATCTTATTGAATTACAGGAGCAGCAGCTGTTTGAGCTTTTTGTGGTAGTGTCTCTACAGAAGAAATCATCAGGAATAAGCTATATTCCCCAGATCATACAACAATTCCCTAGCAAGGTAGGTACAAGAAGGTCAAGAGGCGCTCAGGAATGTTCCTGTATCTTTGTATTTATTTCCTCTCTCCTTGTTTATTGTTATCTCAGTCAGCTTTTACCAATACTGTACTTGTTGTAGGATCAGGTAAGTGACTTTGATGACATCTTATGTTAGGCATGACCTGCAACCAAGGAAAAAAGCAAAACAAAACATGCTCATTCTCTCAGTTCATTTTTTTAGTTTTGGCTCTGCCATTTAATAATCTTTAGCAAGTTACAAAGCCCCAGTTTTCTCCTCCTTAATGAGGGGAATAATAAATGTGGCAGAATAGGATAGTGGTTTAGAGCATGTACACTGAGCCAACACTCTGCATTTGCCACTTGTTAGCTCTTTGAGCAGTTACTTAACCTCTCTGTGCCTGTTTCATTTGTAAAATGGGAGTAATCATAATAGTATCTACCCCTTTGAGCTGTAGTGAGGATTAAATGAGCTAATTTATGTAAGGCACTTAGAACAGTGTCTGACATAAGCTCTATGTAATGTTATTCATTATTCATAAGAATTTAATGAGATAATATATGTAAAGTGCTTAATGCAGTTCCTGGCACATAGTATGCACTTGAATGGTAGCTGTTGTTATTATGAACAGTATTATTTCGTTTGCTCTACCTTTTTCAGAAAATCATTTATTTAATCAAATATTTTTAAAATTCCTACTACTTGCCAGGATTAGATGATGGGAGTATAACTGACAAAGATCTTCTTAGCCAGTGCTCTCATAGAGCTTATTGAGCCTGTGAGCAAATTGAGCCCACAGAGATGGGGTTTTTTTTTTTGGTTTACATAGTGTTTTTGTGAAAACAACAACAATAATTTTTGTTGCCAGTGTTTAAAAATCATATTTCACATACAAATCTACATTTCTGCCTTTTTCTGAGAAACTGGAAAGACTGCTAACACTCAGCCTACATTCCTAAGTGGCAGGAATTGGCTGAAGCTGAGTAAGGAGCAGGATTTCATGGCATGTGACCAGTGTAGTCACATAAGGCCCCTCGCTTGGAAGGGCCCTCTGCTTGGGGTCTTAAAGCCTTAGGTCATGCATGGTCTCACCTCCTGCTGCCTCCCCAGGATGGGTTCTCTAGTTGTCCTGTTCCCCACCACCTGGTTCCTGGAGCCTTGTCTGGCTTCCTTTCCCACCCCCACTCAGTGACCACTGCCACCTTCTGTCCCTTGCAGGGGCTTGGGCACAGACATGGGGAGGGCTGGGATCAGTTGCCCTGCAGTGTCTCCAGGAAGGGCATGGGGGCAGCCCACTCTACCCTGGGTTGGTAGTGCCACGTGTGGTTGACTTGATGGGGGCAAGCCTTTCCACCACCCCCCATCCAAATACCAAGCATATTCCTGAATGGAGGCTACAACCCTTTGGGAGTTGCCCAGCTGCCATAGGTTGGAACAGAGATGCCTGGCTCAACCTCCCCACCCTCAACTGGGACACAGTGTCAGTTCTGAAGCTGGCCAGAGAGGAAACCCAGCAGCTGGTAGGCTACTTGTGTATCAGATTGCCAGCCAGGGCCCCTGGGTCTACACTGGTCCCTGAGGGAGCATGACATTAAATAGCCAATAAAAACCCCATTCCAGATTGAAAGATCTTAGAAGAAAAGAAAAACGTTTTTGGGTTTTTTTTGGCAGCTGGCCAGCACAGGGATCTGAACCCTTGACCTTGGTGTTAAAACACGATACTCTAACCAACTGAGCTAACCAGCCAGCCAATATTTTATTTTTTATTTCATATTTAATTTTTTGTGCTTTTTGAACAAGGGCACCCACATTTTCATTTTGCAGTATGGCTCTGCAAATTATGTAAGGAGTGATCCTTTTAAATAGAGAGATTTAGATATTTTCCAGCTTATTACTTGGACCATTTCTCTCATCTAAATTATCTGCTTGGCCACTCTAGAACTTTGGGCGTTACCATCCTGTATTACATGTTTCACTAAAAAAGCGCTAGTGAAACACAACTGTACTGGAGTCTAAGAGACATTTCCTGCATGGGTTCTCATTTTTAAGATGTGCTCAGCACTATCCCTACAGTAAATAAATCAATAAATTTAATTTCTCATAAAACTCTTCAATGTAGCCTGAGAGCACAATGTCACGGTACTGTTTAGTAAAACAGTACAGTAATAGTCTAAAGTAATATAATCTGGTTAGTTTTAAGTAATGAAATTTCCCATCAAGAGGAGCTTAATTTTTTTTCCCCGGTTTTGATCAGTCTTACAATTGCAGAAGGAAATCTGAGCCTAAATTAATAGGCTTAGAACCAGACAACAACCCAATCTGGCAGTGATTCAGGTATGTTTCTAAGTAAGCTATTTAGCATCTTTGTGCCTCGGGAACCCATAAATTAAGGAGGTAAAGAGCTGATCAGGCCCCTTTTCGATTCTGTTGTGGAAAACCTTGAATGAAGATAATTGTGAATCATTTAACAATATAAAAATAAGAGACTATGACACAGCTAAAAATTTCTTACAGTGTTTTTCTGATTTTTAAGAGGTTAATATCAAAGTCACCCAAAATGGCTACATGTTTTTGTAAAAGAAATTAAAGGATAGATCATTTTTATTAGTTATCAGAAAGCAATATGGTAATTAGACTTATGTGCTTGTTTTTATAGTGGACAGCTTATACTAATTCCTAATTCTTTTGATTTAATTAAATTTAGACTGTCTTGTCTTCCATGCTAAAATTTTACAGGAAGTTGCAAACCACTAGTTAGGTAGCTAAGATTATATGCTAAGTGAAATGATTATATATGGGATGGATTCTAAAAATAGTATCTTTTCTAAACAACATTCACCTGCCTTTTCAAAGCATCTTTGATTATTGATCAGAGAGTGTCTTGAGCTGACTAGGTTTTTGCTATCAGTATATTGTAGAATGAATTTTTACTTATTTCATGTCCCTCGGTTCATAAAAATACAGGGTTCCCACTAGTGCATGAATCCTGAATTGTTTCCACCTGTAAATAAGAAAGTACTTTCAGTCATCTCTCTTATTCTAGATTATAGGATTACCATTTCTATGTAATGGTACCATTTCTATGTAAAAATAGGATTCTTTATTCTTAGTAACTCTGTTCTTAGTGCATTTTCAGTGATTTCCAGTCTTGGCCTTTCTATTTCGTTAAGCTGTACAAAACCATGCTAAGACAGCTGTTTAGGCTTATTAGAGACCTCTTTTCTCTAGACCAAGCTGACTTTTTTATTTCTATTTTCCACTTACATAGAATAATAGTCACCTATCTTTTTTCAGGGCGATCATGGCTATAAGCAATCCAAAGACACTGAAGAGAGGCTCAAAGTTATCCCAAAATTTTGTTTTCCCGATTCGAAGGACTGGGTACCAACCTCAGAACTCAATAGGTAAATGTGCTACTTTATCTGACTTCTATTTGTTGGAACTACAAAAATCAAGTATTTGAGAAATGGATAGAGCCAGGAGTGAAGCTACATGAACACAGTCACAGGTCAAGGATGCACAGTCACAGGGAGGAGAGGAAGAAACAGAATGAGAACATTTCCTATGTGGGGCTTGAAAAAGAAAAATACAGAATAATTTCATTGTCAAAGGGAAAATTAATTTGTCTCTTCAGTTTGCCAGTTCTGCAGAAAAAATAGTTCCACTCTACATGGAACCAGAAATGCCCCCAAATGGACAGAAAAGGAAAAAGACTTGGACTTTGGGACTCCACCTAGAAACAGAAATTTTAAAAAGCCATGTCTTCATCTAGTTTCTCCTTCAAGTTGATAGAAGCCATAGCCTAAATTATATGCTCTCCTGTGGAACTTGAATACAGGGAGGCTTTCATTTGGGAGGTATGGGTATATTGAGAAGGGAAGTGCTGAAGAATTTCTTCCAAGTATCTAGAAGAATTTACCATTTTAAATTAATAAACCATCATCATCTCTGAATCTTGCTTGTAAACAGATAACTGCTTTGTTCAAAAGTGTAATTATTGATACTATTTAGGCTGAAAAGCTTGATTAGTTGAACCATACCAGATGCTGATGACCTACTAGATGACAGCCTCAGCTGTTGCCTAAGTAGCTCTGCCCTTCAACCTCACGATGCTTCCAGACTAAGCTGCTGTCTCATAACCAGTTTAGCCTGATTGCCACTCTCATCTCTCAGCCGTCAATGTTGATGCTCTTGTGTTGTCAGTTGTACTACTAACCACATAAGCAGCTTCTTTCATATTGGCCTGACTGCTCCATAGTTGGCTTTTCCCCCAAACAAGTTATGTATTTATTCTAGAATATATGCAAAATATAGAAGAGTAAATAAAAAACAAAGATTAGAAATCACTGGCAATCTGGTTACTCAGAGTTAAATCACTAAATATTTTGGCATATTCCCTTCCACTCTTTATTTTGGGCTGTATATAGACATGTATACTCACTATGCAAATTTGGATTTTTTGATTATGAATGAGTTTCTTTCTTGGGCATCTTTAGGTCTTTTTTTTGTAAATTATTTATGCATATATTTTGCCCATGACATTTGAGGAGTTGATATTTTTCCTGTTGACTTTTTATAAATTATAGAAGAATCTGGAAGGGGAAAATGGCATATTAAAATCCTTTGTAATTTACCTGTATGTTTATCTAAATTGGACATTGAGCAGAAAGAAAACAGGCTTGGTTAATAACTAGAGTGGATAATAAGAAAGTAAAAAGAGGCAACAGCATCAACAACTTACCCAATTATTTTCTCATTCACTCCAGTACAAGGCAAGATATTCTCAAGGCCTGAACATTCCTTAGGAGAAATGTGACTTGAGATAAATGTAATAATGCCACAAAATAACAGCTGTTAGACTCTAATTTTTGATTATTTGTTCCATGAGGAATGCCGTAAGTGCTTGATTGGATCTCAAGGTAAATATTGGCTGTTTTTTCAGTGAAACATTCTCCTTCGTCTTGACTGGTGAAGATGGGAGCCGGTGGTTTGGTTACTGTAAGAAGCTCTTGGTAAGTACCAGCCGTGTGTTGCAGAAAGGGTTGGTCAAGGAACAATAGAGCCAGACCAGGGACTTCAGAAACACTATCACTAGATAAGTTTGAGGGCTACTCAATGATTTGTGTATTAAAGATGCAGTGTTAGATTTAAACAGTAAGAACAAAGTGGGGGGTAGCCATGGAATGTTCCAGAATAGATGGGATAGGGATTTAGTTTATTTGTTTGGAATAGAGAAAGTAATCACTGACACAATGTCTAAATATCTGTCTGGGTATATTTGAGGAATGGAATACAATGAGCCAATTGACGGAGCTCTGAGTTATTCACCAGCCATATAAGGGCTTTCTTCTTGCTTAGATGTCTTCACTAAACATGAAATAAATCATGCTACCATTTTTAGCACTTTTCCCATCTTTCAGTGTTCACCGAAGGTGACAGCTTGGTTTCTGCTCTGTACTAAAAATATTATTAAGAGTATTAATAGTCCAAATTAGTAAAGACTTGTGCTGCTTGATTTTTCTTTTTTCTTTCCTTTTTTTTTTTTGCTGGTGTAGGGATCCAAACACATGACCTGGGGGGTTTAAGGCTGCACTCTAACCACTGAGCTAAGTGACAAGCCTGATTTTTTTTTTTTTTTTTTTTTTTTTTTTTTTTTTTTTTT